TTTTGTATGCTTTTCTTTTTACATCGTGAATAAAACGATGGGGTAGGGAAGGAATGTAAAGGTTATTTCTTTTTCATTATAATTTTCTTCTTCGTCAGGTTATTCTAAGAGTATTTCGATAGAAGCTGCCAGAACCTGACGATTGTGCATGGAATTCAGATTTGTGTTACCAGTAAAGAAAAAAAATGTATATTTATTAATAACATATCAAACAAAAACTAGTCCAATGATGTCCTAAAGGACAAAGCGCGTCACACGAAAAACATCTTCCACTTTGTCATACATATTTCTTCCAAAATTATTCACGATATATAAAAAAATTATATTTGTTATTATATATATATTATATATATATATATATATATATATATATATATATATATATATATATATATATATATATATATATATATAACAATATAGTTAAAAAACTTGAAAGTGAAGTCTGAAGATCCAGAAAATAATAAATTCTCTGGTGAAATAAATTATTACTATGGTATATTAAATTGGTCTGATTTTTCTTTAAATTAATATATATATATATATATATATATATATATATATATATATATATATATATATATATATATATAACTAAACATATTTTTCTACGTCAGTTGTACGACTCAGAATTTCATTTATACACACACACACACACACACACACACATATATATATATATATATATATATATATATATATATATAAAAAAAATGTGTGGATGGTCCTGCACGAGGCCTTCACCACTATAATCAAATCTCATGTGCCGGCTGTCGGTTTCCTGGAAACTGATCTGCTTGACCCTCATACGTCGAATCTCGACGGGAGAATCGATTATATATAATAATATTAATATAAATAATGCAAGTAATCATAATACCTCATTTCAGAGATATAGACAGATACCAAAAGGAAGAGTTACTTTCTCCTAGACATGTTGTCACCAAAGGCTATAGAACCCAGTCTGCCCTGCTAATTAACCATTTCTGGCGAGGGGAGAAGAAGAGGAATCATTCATTCTACAAGAGTATTAGCATGTAAGTGAGTGTAATGGAATCCGAGCTGCTTATACGTTACAAGAGGATTCATACCATGCACACTTACGAAATGTGAATAATCCCTGATTTTTGCTAATTTTTCATTCTTAGGGTTAGAGTTGTTGCGAGGCAAGCGAAACAAATTTTGATTTCAAATTTATAATTTCAAAAGTGTGATTAAATAATAAAAAAATAAACGTTGATATAAAATTTATAATTTTTTAGAGTGAATTAATATTTGTGATAAGAAATTGAGTGAATTTGCGGAGATTTGAGTTGAATTGACAGAAATGGTCCCCTTCTTTAAGTCAGAAAAGATAATAACTGAATATTTTGCTTATCTTTTGAATTGCTTTTGGAATATATTTGTTAGAATGTGCTGCGTCCTTAAAGTAGGAAAAAGAATATGAGTATAAGTTCGGCGGAAAAGGCAATGATTTCTCTGGTTGTCAACCTTTAAAAGATGGCTACTTTTCATTGGAAGCCTTTGTAAAAGCCAACCAAATATATGTAAAAATTTAGCCCCAAAATATATGTAAAGAATTAACAGAGCCCCTAAATATATATAAAGATTTAGTCCCCAAATATATGTAGAGAATTAAGAAAGCCCTTCAATATACGTAGAGATTTAGTCCCCAAATATATGTAAAGAATTAACAAAGCCCCTCAATATATGTAAATATTTAGTCCCCAAATATATGTAAAAAAATTAAGAAAGCGCCTAAATATATGTAAAGATTTAGTCCCCAAATATATGTAAAGAATTAACAAAGCCCCTAAATAAATGTAAAGATTTAGCCCCCAAATATATGTAAAGAATTAACAAAGCCCCTAAATAAATGTAAAGATTTAGCCCCCAAATATATGTAAAAAATTAAGAGAGACCCTCAATATATGTAAAGATTTAGCCCCCAAATATATGTAAAGAATTAACAGAGACCCTCAATATATGTAAAGATTTAGCCCCCAAATATATGTAAAGAATTAACAGAGACCCTCAATATATGTAAAGATTTAGCCCCCAAATATATGTAAAGAATTAACAGAGACCCTCAATATATATAAAGATTTAACCCCCAAATATATGTAAAGAATTAACAAAGCCCCTAAATATATGTAAAGATTTAGCCCCCAAATATATGTAAAGAATTTTAAAAAAAGCCCCTAAATATGTGTAAAGATTTAGCACCCAAATGTATGTAATGAATTAACACAGACCCTAAAAATATGCAAAGATTTATTCCCCAAAAATATGTAAAGAATTAATAAAGGCCCCAACTACACGTAAAGATTTAAAAGAGACCCCAAATTTATGTAAAGAATTAACAACGCCCCTAAATATTTGTAAAGATTTAGTCGCCAAAAATATGTAAAGAATTAACAAAGCCCATAAATATATGTAAAGATTTAGTCCCCAAATATTTGTAAAGAATTAACAATGACCCTAAATATCTGTAAAGATTTAGTCGCCAAATATATGTAAAGAATTAACAAAGCACCCAAATATATGTTAAGATTTAGCCCCCAAATATGTGTACAGAATTAAGAAAGCCCCTAAATATATGTAAAGTTTTCGCCCCCAAATATATGTAAAGGATTGAGAAAGTCCCGAAATATATGTAAAGATTTCGCCCCCAAATATATGTAAAAAATTAAGAAAGCCACTATAGATTTTTAAAGATTTATCCCCCAAATATATGTAAAGAATTACCAAGCCCTTAAATAAATGTAAAGATTTAGTCCCCAAATAAAAGTAAAGAATTAACAAAGCCCCTAAATATAAGTAAAGATTTAGCCCCCAAATATATGTAAAGAATTAACAAGTCCTTAAATAAATGTAACGATTTAGCCCCTACATATATGTAAAGAATTGAAAAGCCCCTAAATATATGTAAAGAATTAACAAAGCCCCTAAAAGAAATGTAAAGATTTAGCCCCCAAATATATGTAAAGAATCAACAAACCCCCCATAGATATGTAAAATTTTGGTCCGCAAATATATGTAAAGAATTAACAAGGCCCTAAATAAATGTAAATTTTTGTCCCCAAATATATGCAAAGAATTAACAAAGCCTCTAAATATATGTAAAGATTTAGCCCCTAAAATATATGTAAAGAATTAACAAAGCCCCTTAAGAAATTTAAAGATTTACCCCCCAAATATATGTAAAGAATTAAGAAGCCCTTAAATAAATGTAAGGATTTAGCCCACTAATATATGTAAAGAATTAACAAAGCCACTAAATATATGTTAATATTTAGTTCCCAAATATATGTAAAGAATTAACACAAACACTACAAATATGCAAAGATTGAGTCCCGAAATACATGTAAAGATGTAACAAAGCCACTAAATATATGTAAAGATTTCCCCCAATTATATGTAAAGAATTAACAAAGCCCCTAAATATATGTAAAGATTTAGTCCCCAAAAATATGTAATGAATTAACAAAGCCACTAAATATATGTAAAGATTTAGCCCCCAAATATATGTACAGAAGAAAGAAAGCCCCCAAATAACACTAAAGTTTTCACCCCCAAATATATGTAAAGGATTAAGAAAGCCCCCAAATATGTGTAAAGCTTTCGCCCCAAAATATATGTAGAGAATTATGAAAGCCCCTAAATATATGTAAAGATTTAGTCCCCAAATATATGTAAAGAATTAACAAAGGCCCTAAATATATGTAAAGATTTAGCCCCCAAATATACGTAAATTGTTAAGAAAGTCCCTAAATATATGTAAAGATTTAGCCCCCAAATATATGGAAAGAATTAACAAAGATCCTAAATATATGTAAGTATTTAGTCCCCAAATACATGTAAAGATTTAACAAAGCCCCTAAATATATGTAAAGATTTAGTCCCCAAATATATGTAAAGAATTAAGAAACCCCCCCAAATATATGTAGAAATTTAGTCCCCAAATATATGTAAAGAATTATCAAAGGCCCTATATATATGTAATGATTTTCGCCCAAATATATGTAAAAATTAAGAAAGACCCTAAATATATGTAAAAATTTAGCCCCGAAATATCTGTATAGAATTAACAAAGCCCCAAAATATATGTTATGATTAATCCCCAAATATATGTAAGTAATTAACAAAGCCCCCAAATATATGTAAAGATTTACTCCCAAAATATATGTAAAGAATTAAGATAGCCCCTAAATATATGTATAGATTTATCCCCCAAATATATGTAAATATTTAACAAAGCCTTTAAATATATGTAAAGATTTATCCCCCAAATATATGTAAAGATTTAACAAAGCCCCTAAATATATGTAATGATTTACCCCCAAATATATGCAAAGAATTATGAAAGCCCCCAAATATATGTAAATATTTAGCCCCCAAATATATGTAAAGAATTAAGAAAGCCCCTAAATATATATAAAAATTTAGCCCCCAAATATATGTAAAGAATTAACAAACCCCCAAATATATGTAAAGATTTTGCCCCCAAACAATCTACCCCGGTAGACAAAAAAAATTTCCAATCATCCGAAGAAGCCCTGATCGTACAGGGGCCGAAATGTTGTGAATACAGGAATGAAGATGGCGATAACCCTCCCCCCCCCAAAAAAAACGAATGATATAAATAATGCAAGTAATCACAATACCTCATTTCAGAGATATTGACAGATACCAAAAGGAAGAATAACAATAACATCTATAAACATTGGTTGATTTGACTCGTTCGTTTTTACGGTTTATCAACCCTTTGCCGGTTATTTAAAGCAGAAAATATTTTTAGATTGTGAGAGTTTTGGGAGGAATAATAACGGTTAATGTTACAAATCATTCTTATTAAACCATATCTGCTGGGGAAATAGATGGATTCATGCCTTTCCCAAGATTATTGCGCATAACTTAAACCCAAGTGGAATTGGAACTCGGCTCTCTGATTAACTATTCCGAGCCATTATCCACTACACCATCCGCATATCCAAGCTTATAGCACCTAGCATTCCCAAGCTGTCACCCTAGGTACTGATCAGGCTCGACGTTGCTTAATTTCGGCGATCGTACGGGAACCAGTGTTTCAACGTGACATAAACATTGGATGAACGACCAGAGTGTACACATTGAACAAGCAACAGTAAAAGAAATATCAATAAAATTCCATCATTTCCCGCAAACAACTTAAGAGCCTGGAGAAATCTCAAGGATTTGCAGTGCGCTTTCAAATTGATGAGTTCTCGTGATGATGATTGTGGATTACCTCCATTTGGTTTTGCCAGGTTTGTCAAGACGCTGTTAGGTGGCGCTGTTAATAGCTTTGAAAACGGACAGCAAATATTATGAAAATGGTTTAGTCATCAATATTAAATAGAAGAGTAACATTTAAAGTTGTTGTTCAATGTGTACACTATGATTTTTAGCGAATCTTTCTAGAAGAACTATCGATAAAAATCCATTATACCACGTGAAGAAAAAGTTTAAGAGCTTGAGAGACCTGAAACACTTTCGTAAGTTAGGACAAGACATATAAAAAATATTTAAAAAGTTGCTGAAAATGAGAAAACACATGGATTTGCAGGGTACCTTCAAATCGAAACAGATCTTATAAATTACCTCCATTTGGTTTTGTCAGGTTTGCCAAGAAGCTATTAGGTAAAGCTGTTAATATCTTTGGAAAAGTACAGTAAGGATTATGAAAATGGTTTATTCATCAATAGCAAATAGAAGAATAAAATTTAAAGCTCTTGTTTAATGGCATGTCCATTCAGACGATAGGTGATCATGGCTCACCACAGTTTCTTTTTCTTTACTGACTGAATTTGCATGACTTGTTGGCGGAATTACAAATTTAGTATTTTTAGTGTTGATTTTACGTAACTTTAATGAATTTTGTATGCTTTTCTTTTTACATCGAGAATAAAACGATGGGGTAGGGAAGGAATGTAAATGTTATTTCTTTTTCATTATAATTTTCTTCTTCGTCAGGTTATTCTAAGATACGAACGTGATTTCCGTTGCCTTTTTCAAAGTTTTGAATTCAGAGTAGCCTTTCTCTTAGACTGGCTGCCAACCAAGGCTCTGGGTTCCAGTCTACCCTGCTATTTAACCCATAAGTCAGGGTGTGGAAAGGGAGGAATCAGTAACTTTTCCCAGCATATTTGTGCGAAAATGAAGGCTGAAGTTTCGACTCAGCTTTCCGCTTCCATTTTCGGAGCTGATAATCGTTACGCTACCCACATATCTATTCTCTTATTTTTGTATTATTAAAGAAAAGATTCATAATTCAAAAAATTCAAGCTGCGTTAATCGCCACGGATTTCCAAAAAATGGATAATCCCCCGGGGTCTTCCTCCCACGGTAACTGAGCTACAACTGTGCCAAACAGCATGCTATGCACCCTCACTGACTCAGGAGGAAAGTGGGAAAAGAAAAAAAGAAACAAGTTGCCAACTAGAAATTACGAGTTCTTTTAAAATTTTGAGGTAACAACCCACCCCACGTGACTAACACAGGTTTAAATGCAATGTCAATCTTTATCATCTGTCTTCTTAATTCTTGTTCTTTTATTGTCCTCTCTCCTTAATAGTAGTTTTTCTCATATTCTCTAACACTCAGTAACCCCCTTGCGTCCTAGTGGCTTTATTGCCTTTGATCTTAAAAAATTTCAATGCAATGTCAATCTTTATCTTATGTCTTCTTAATTCTTGTTCTTTTATTGTCCTTTCTCCATAATGGTAGTTTTTTCTCATATTCTATAACACTCGGTAACCTCTTGCGTCTTAGTGGCTTTATTGCCTTTGATCTTCAAAAATTTCAATGCAATGTCAATCGTTATCTTCGGTCTTCTTAATTCTTGTTCTTTTATTGTCCTCTCTCCTTAATAGTGTTTTTCTCATATTCTCTAAATCAATGACGCCCTCCTTGCGTCTTAGTACCTTTATTGCCTTGCATTGGGTGAAATTATTTAAAAAAATAAGTTATGGTCTTGGCAAAAAACATGAACAAAAATAAATGATTCAACTGACACTGGAATTCCTTTTCATGGCGGGTGGCATATACAGTAATTATGTAAAATCGTAAAGTATTGAAAGAAAAAAAGATAAATAAAAGGATTTTCTCCAGAAAATTTATTTTAAGAAGGTCTCTTCTTCTTACAGTTGAATTGGCTAGATGCAACCGTAAGTTCTATGTTAAGAGTTTCTTCATTCACACTTCTTCTCTCTTGCGGCTTCTTGATTTCAAGTCAACATTAATCTTCAAAAATTTGAATCCAATGTCAATCGTTATCTTCTGTCTTCTTAATTCCTGTTCTGTTATTGTCTCCTTTCCTTAATAGTAGTTTTTCTCATTTTCTCTAACACTCAACCCCTTGCGTCTTAGTGGCTTTATTGCCTTTGATCTTCAAAAATTTAAATACAATGTCAATCGTTATCTACTGTCTTTTTAATTCTTGTTCTCTTATTGTCTTCTCTCCTGAATAGTATATTTTCTCATATTCTTTTAACAGTAACACCTTGCGCATTAGTGGCTTTATTGCCTTTCTTTGGGTGAAGTGATTAAAAAAAATTTTTTTAAAATGTTGATATGGGGGTTAATCGTATTTTCCAGGTAAATAATAAAGAGAATATTCCCAGTGAGACGTATAGACATATCTATGTGTTTTATATAGACGTTGCGGGGTTTTTTTTGCTTCTTCTCACGTTACGCCTAAATAAAACTGCCAATCAAAACACAACATGGAAGAAAAACCGGTTGTAAAATAACTAGCTTCGAAACTGCTACTTCCCAGTTCCCACCTTGTTCATTTTTTGATACACGTTGTATGCTCCCACTTTAAAAATAATACAATACAAAGAGACTTTGTTTCTTATGTACAACTTGGCAGTCAAACCTTTTGACTTTATATGAAGGAAAGCCTATCAACAAATTATCAGCTGTTTTTTTTATTCAATCATTTCACCCCAAGCAAGGCAATAAAGCACAGAGGATTACTGGGTGTGAATGAATAAGAGAGAAAAAATTTATTAAGGACCGAGAACAATAAAACAACAAGAATTTAAAAGACAGAATATAACATTGACTGGAAAGCAAGAAGACGGAAGAGACTTCCACATGCAAGAAAAGAAATTGTTAGCATAGAACTTACGGTAATATCAAGCCATTTTGTTGTAATCTAGAAAAGGTTAGTAAATGAGGAATAACCAAAATTGAGGTTGGAAATGAAATGGTAATCTTTATAATATCAACAAAATACAATACTCGCCAGCGGCGGGAGTAGGATTGGAACATGCCCATTAGTGTTCATAGGTACGGTATATAACACATTTCAACTGTAATTTGAAGAGACCTATCTGCCAATCTAGTACTGCGCTTAAATTCATAAAGTTGGGGTACGTAAGAGGAAAACTCATCAGAATAATTAACATTAAAATATTTAGAGAAAAGATAAAAGGAAGCTACGTTAAGGCAATAGGAAAATCATTGAATCTGAGATGCCAGGTCAGGACCGAAAACATTGCAGATTCTAAATCCAGAGCAGAAGTACCAGACCAGATGTGACAGCAAGATTCAAAGCATGGATGAATGGTCGAACTATAAATCTGAAAGACAGATTTTGGTGAGAAAGCTTGTTAACAAATTATTAACGTTTTTCTTTTTTTTAAAAAAAATCATTTAATCAAGCAAGGCAATAAAGCCGCTAAGACGCAAGTTGTTACTGAGTGTGAGAGAATATGAGAAAAAGAAAAACATTATTAAGGATAGAGAACAACAGAAGAAAATAGAAAAGGCACATGTATGTTACAGCGCTGGGAAAGGGACTAAAGCCGAGACGCCAGGTCAGGATCAATAACATTGCCGATTCTTCTTTGGATTTTATCAAGAATCTCTAAATATATCGCAGGAGAACAAGACCAGATGTGTCAGCAACATCCAAAGCAAGAACGAATGGAATGGTAGACTTATGAATATGTCAGATAGATTCTGTAGAGAAAAATTGTCTAGCCCGACACAGTGAACCAACTTTCTTAACTGCAAATTAGCAATGGATTCTATATATTTTTCCACTTCATGTCAGCTGAAATCGTTAGTTCGAGAAGGCGTAATGAATTACTCTACTGGAGGTTAGCATCAGCCATGCAGATGTAAAACAGAAAAGAGTCTCTCAGATGGTTAATAGAGGATAGTTTCGTTTGGAGGCATTAAAATTAACAAGCTATTCCTTGCACTAGTTAACAACAGACGGTAGGTTATTTTTTGAGATCAGCTGCCAATTTGACCTTATAGAACCGATCTAGAATTTTGCTTTACGGTGATTGGAAATTAAAAAAAAAGTTAAAACAAACGATTGTATTGCAGACGTTATTTTCATTTCCTTTTATTTTGAATTTGTAGGGTACTAATGTTATATATATATATATATATATATATATATATATATATATATATATATATATATATGGTACTAATGTTAATAGAAAATGATTAACATGAGTGCTACAAAATAAAGTAGTTTTTTTTATTTCCTTTTCTTTTTTGCAAATACAAGAACTTGTGGAAAAAATCTGAAAACAAAAATTGAATCATTTTTCTTTTTTTCATCTCTGCAAGTTGTAGGGAATTATCAACACCCAGGTGGCGTTAAAAGCATTATCGCCAAGTTGAGTATCATAATTTGATACTGTTCATTCAGCGGTCAAAGGAGCAGGCTGCTGTGAAACACAGTTGTACTCATCTTGCCAAGCAAGTGAACTGTTCGTAAGTAGTTTTGATGGGCTCACACACATGCGTGTTAGTTCCACAAATTTCTTACGAAGTGACAGCGTATTTTTTCGTACACCCGATTGGTCAAAAAATGTGGACGAGTGTTTTATTATTTAAGAAAACATGCGTAGGCGTTTTTTTATATATTAAGAAATGCGCCAAAGTTGATCTAGAACTTTACTTGACGGGTAAATTTCATCATTTCCTATAAATACTCCCCTTTCCTGATCGATAAATGCATGACATTTTTTCCTTTTTTTTTCTTTAAATTCTAAGGGTTCAGAATACGAAACGCGGTGATTACGTGCTCTCGTAAATTACTTT